AAACAAAAAGTTTCAATAGAAGTACCTATTGATAATTCAATTATTTAGCTAAGTATTCCTATACTTATTAGAAAATGATGAATTTTTGTTATTTTTCTCTTTTGCTTTTCTTTTCATTATTACTAATCGAAGAAAACTGAAGTGCTAGAGGAACCTCCGAACAAAAGTAGTGTAAAGGAAAACGTAGAGAAAGTGTGGAACGATTTCAAGAGAATAATTACGGATAAAGTTGATGAAATTCTTAGGGACCCTAAGACCAAAGATATCCTCAATAAAAGTGAAAAAATTATCAATGACGTTCAGGGAAATTTGAAAAGTTTCATTGAATCACTTCGTAAAGCAGCTGATGATGCTTCCAAGGTATGTATACAAAATGAATTCCCTGGCCTGCATTTGTTTTTATTTCCTTTTTCTTTTCATTATCATTAATTATTGAAGGATACCAACGAGAACTCGGCAAAATCTGCAGCTGCTACTTATTTAAGAAACGTAAAAGAAGCGTGGGACTCGTTCAAGAAGAAAATTGCGGCGACGTATAAGAATGTATGGGAGAAACAAAGAGTCAAAACTGCCGTAGCTGATGGCGAACATTTTCTCTTGAGAATTTCATATAGTACCCAAGACGTTGTCGATTCTATTCGTAAAGAACTTGAAAAAATTAACACTGAGAGACTGTAAAATATTGCTGATCCCACCTATACACATTACATATGCTTACACCTAGGTTTCATATTGTATCGTTTCAACAATATTATTATGAAATATGGACTCAATGGGCATGTACTCATTCCTAAAAAGCTAAAAAATAAACTTTAACTATTATTTTCATCTAATAATGTTTATTTTTATTTAAAACGTACTTTTAGTATCAAAACGAAAAGTTATTTTTTGCTTCGAAAGCATGAAATCACTGCGTTCTACATTATATTAACGAGAAACTGCCGTATTTGTATAAGATTATTATGCGAGTAAGGTTCTTTGCATTTGATATCGTGTCAATAAGGTTTCCATATTTTCTAATATTACCAAAATGTTAATTTCGAATGATTATAATATATAAGGAAGTCGATAAAAATCTAACTTTTCGCTTAGAATCGATTCGAACGATATTTTTGAAGGAAATAGCCTGTTATAGGAGATAGAAAAATGATAGAAATGTTCTCGGGGTCAAGGTTCTTCTAAAGACGAAGATAACTGAGAATGCCAAGCACACTTGTGCTGATTCGCGTTCCGGAGCATATAATGCGACGACGGGAGAGAGAGAGAGAGAGAGAGAGAGAGAGAGAGAGAAAAAGGGAAAAATACAACTAACAGAATCGTTTGAAAATTACATAAGTCGAAGCTCGAGAGACTGAATTATCTCTTTTGATAAAAAAAGATGAGTCAATGAAGATTTTTCCGTGGAACCTTGTTCTCGGAGAATGCTGTCCACCGTCATTCACCCGAGTGCACTTTACTCTCTTGATATGTACATATGATAACAAAACATCGAAATATTTGACGAACGTTTTATTTGAAACGTAAACGAAATGAAAACGAATTAAAAATCGAGCAGAATACTGAAAGATTTGATTTCAAATGACTACTTAGGATCACTTTTGAACAATACACAAGGAAAAGGAAAAGATATTATTCCAAATTGGAATGTTAAAAATTGAAATCGAAAATTATCGTATTTCTCTGTATCTCTAAAGGATATCAGACAAAAATGAAAATATCGTCTTCTCGTTCGGTTAAAAGAAGATAAAGCAATCTTTGGCCTCTAGTAGCACCATTAATAGACGATAAGGATTAGCTATAAAGGGAGCAATACCAAAAGCCCGCGCATCAGTCGTTCTCTAGTCATTTCAGAGGTCGGAATAAACGGAGGAAAAGAGGACAAAAATATCATTGAAAATGAAGAGCACGTTTTTGATCGTTCTAACAGTAATCCTCGTTTACACCGAGGCTAAAGCAGTACCATCTGACAATGCCGAAACTCAGCAAACGTCTAATCAACCTTTGCAATTGTCGGAATTAATTACTCAAGCACAAGCGAGTATCAATAGTTTGACAGCTGAGTTTCAAGACAAAATGAATCTTCCCGATACACAAACCGTCGTCAACAGCGTTAAGGAGCAGAGCACGAATTTCGCCAATAAATTACAGGAATTGATAAAAAATGTGACAGAACAGGTAAGAGTTCATTTCTTGAAGCTCTGATTGTACACGCCAAAAATGTATATATTATTTCTATGTATAATTTGTATTTTGTCATCTTGACACGTATTATTTAAGGGAACTTTCTATTAAACTTTCCCTATCTCTGACTTATTCTACTCTGATAACGCCCCAAACGAAAGAAGAGGAAGATAGAAAATGTAAAGTTCGGGAGGCAGGGCAAGAAATAGTATTTCTTCAAATATTCCACAAAAATATATAAAATGAACGAATGAATTAAATAAAGCATATTTTATTTCAACCCTTTGGAGCCCCTGTTTTGTTGAAATTTCGTTTGGATCTTTCTCTCTTTGATTATTAAACGATGTCGCAAAATGTAGGGAAAAATATAATCGTAGAAATAAACTTTGTGTAACAGGTTAAAGAGAAGAGTCCAGAATTAGAAAGTTTATGGACCGACGTGAAGGGCAGACTAAATAAGGTAGTCGACGACATCAATGCTCAAATTCCAGATGCGCGTGAACAAGTGAATCAATTGCAAGCCAAGTTGCAGGAGGGATTGCAAACCGTCGTACAAGAATCCGACAAAACAGTCAAAGCTGTTAGTCAAAATTCGCAGAAAGTACAAGAAGAGATTGGCAAATTAACGAAGCAAGCTGTCGAACTTGCGGTCGAAACCACGCAAAATCTAAACAATCAATTGAAACAAGCAGCAAAAACCAATTAAACAAATAAAATAATCATTTTAAATTCCTCTTTATTTAACTAATTAAAATTAACTCGATTAACTACAATTACGGTATCGCAGTCTCAATAAAAGTGAAAACAAAAAATGCTGACGCGAGTTATGACGAAAGACCATTTCTGTATTTGAAAAAAAAGGAAAAATAAATCAAGAAAAATATGTTTTTCTATATAAAACGTATCACGATTACTTTCTTCCTCTCACGTTTCTGCTTTGATAAATATCAAATTATCTTCATTTGATGTTAACATTGGTCATTGCCAACGTATAATATTTCTAACATATTTTAATAGATAAATAAATCAATGAATATTATGCAATATATGTGTATAAAATACATATGAAATATTATATGCGATTACAAGGAATAATGATAAGTAAGCAACATTAGGCAATATCCGTGAATCAATTCGATAACATTCACTTCTAGGAAAAATGTCGTCCTACTTATTTCGTATTTCTATGATATTAACAAATATTCAAGTTTTTATAAATGTTTGTTACATCATTGGCAAATTATCTTTCACATTCATCGTCTAAAATATTTAATCAAATTAATTTTCAATTTGCGTATTACATCGAGTTCATGTACTATTTATTTATGACGTATTTTTATCCTTCATTTTTCTCATATTTTAGGATATCAGTTATAATATTAATCAAATAAGTTCGTTTCTTCATTTGAATTATTTAAAATATTCTATCATTATTTTGTCTCTGACTTTTACAATTGTGTAAGTTTAACGAAATTCATTTTGCTTTATCAGCACATTCTATTCTTTTTTTTCTTTCTGTATATTTCACAAATAAACTGTATTCGATATAATTTCTTCAAAAACTAATTATAATATAATTTGTACAAGATTTAATAAATATTATACGTAACAGTAAAGCAAAAGATTTGATATTATGTGTTGGAACATATCTTTAACCTAAATTCATCGGATTAAATTGTCAATCGTTTCATAACTTTCAATGTTACAATTTGCAAAGTTTTTATGAAAAATGATTTCGGTCATTTCGTTTTCAGTCGGTACTTCGTAACGTCGACATATTTTTTGCGCGTTTATCGTTTATTTTGATAAGTGAATTATTTCAAAAAGAAAAACAAGCAAATAGAAAAATAATAAAAAAGTGTATACCGATATTTCATAACGTTTATCATCGAACAAAATGAAATCGTGTATTTTTTTGTTCTCCTTACTCGTGGTAAGTTCAGTCTATTTCGTTTGGACATATTCATCGCGATAAAATCATTTTGTTTTTCTTTCTATCCAATAGATATCTTTGGCAGTAACTCAAGAAAGGCTTAATCGAAAATATAAAAAGTCATTGCAAAGACTTGATGATTTTCCTCGGCAAGATAAAATCGCGACAAAGGAAAAAGAAAATTATTTGAAGGATGAAAGAGAGAGAAACGATAAAATAAACGGAGGATTTGAAAAAGTGATCGATTTCGTTAACGTCTTGGGACAATTAGATGATTTTATTTCTGACCGAGCGAAGAATATCATTCGAAAACTTCATCAATTATATAACTCGGACGAAAATGATTATTAACTAAATTTTTCGTTAATTCATATGTTACAATAAATAATAACGTTCCTTTACAAATCTGTGTTTTTATCTTTCAAAAATTACCATGGAAAAAAGTATGCAACCATTGATAGAAAAATTAAAGTAAACATTTTAATACAAAAATTATTCGATATTATATAACTCTATAATAATTTAATTAGATTTGATATTAATAATACGTACAAGAGCTGTATCTAAATAAATTATGTAATTTCGTATTCAGAAATTTGATTTGATCCAATATTATAGCCCCTGTTCACTAGTTACATATTACAAATGAGCATTTGCCCTCGTTGCGCCATCTACAGACCGGAAATTAAATTATACCATTAACTAATCAAAATTGCAGAATATGTTGTTCAATTAAAAACAATAATCGTATCATGAAAAAGAAAAGAAAAGAAAAGTCGTTTGGAAATATGTAAAATTTTCCTGGAAGAACGCGGCCCGATTGGTCGTTAAAAGATATGGTAAATATAAAGGAATTGGTTCTCGAGTAAACGTGAAATATAAGGTAAATTATTCGCCAGGTGGCGATTGCGTTAGTCACCGGGATTCGATAGATTGGGTAGATTGGGTGATTTGTGCTAGATTTTATCGTTTACCACGTGTTAATTAATACGCTACAAATATTTTCTAAGAAACAAGTAGAAATACTAAGGAATCTAAAACCTTCCTCCCCTCTCTGTCCATTTCTACCTCTTTCTCTCTCTCTCTCTCTCTCTCTCTCTCTCTCTCTC